CTTATTTCTACTCCTTAAAACCATATGGTATGTTTTATGGTATGTTCAACCTGTTTCTAAAAAAGAAAAGGAAAATTGATTTTTTAAATAAAAAATTWAAAAGATGGAGATTTCTCTTTGAAAATTCTGCTAAATATGTAAGAAGGGAAAAAAKAGTTAAATGCAATTTGATAGGTCCATGTAATGAAAGAGTATAATTGAGAACTACCCAAGGTTTGTCTAKGACTAGAGGCTATATCCCTAGAAGTGCAGGAGGTGAGAGAGCCTAGTCAATGGACAATAAACATTAGTTTTCAGAAAGGAGAAAGGAAGTATATTCTACAAGGAAGAGCTAGTACCCTGAATGACAGATAAGATTGGACCAATGGATCTGGAGATGGTCACGGAACCCAAAAACAGGTTTGGGGTTAGCTGAGAAGATSAGTTATAGCAGTGGCAGTCCATAAGGCTATTGGCTCTTAAAGTGGGTATTTACTGTGAGAATAAAGTTAACAGAGAAGGGACAACAAAAATTGTTATAATCCTTGTTGTTAGAACTTAGCATGTGGATCTTAATTCTAACACAGTAGTGCCAAGTTTTTTATTTTATTTTTTTATTGTTTTTGTTTTTGTTTCTTTTCTTTTTTTTTTTTAATTACAAAAAGTCATAGAGTTTAATGAGAAAAAGTCACTGGGGTGTTGGAACACAATCATCCTCAAATGTTGTTGAGTGTGAGGAAGAAGAAAAAGTCCCACTTTCCCTGCCAAACAGAGAAATGTGTGGTTATTGTTTCATGTAAGACAGCCAGCACCTGTCAAGTGTCTGCTGCACTCTGTGCTGATGAAATGGGTAATGAATCAAGGAATAGGGTAAGGACAAAGGAGACTTGAGACTCCTCCTCCTGGTGCAGGCATTTGTTACATGGTAAAAAAAGTGTCCTCCAAATTCTCAAGACCATTCTAGATACCAATTTCACTCTTTGCTTTTTTTTTTCCACTTGGCTTCTTTTTCTAACCCTCAGCAACACTGATTTCTCAGGACWTTGTTCGTGTTTTAAGTTCTATCACTGTAGTGAAACAGCTTTCACTATAGTCACCAATGATTCTTAAAGAATATTTTCCTAAAATTTTTCTTGCTTGATACTTTTACAAAATTAAACAATGGTGTTCACGATTTCACTGTCCATATACTCCCTACCCTGACCCTTCTGTATGTCTTTCTGCATCTCTTTCCTTTAAATGGTTATCCTCTCCTTTCTGGCCATTGAATGATTCTGTATTTGGTCTCATGACAATTCTTTGCACTTTTTTAGATGTCTCTTTCCCCAGACACCTTCTTAATGTGGTAATTGAAAATGTGAAAATCAGACCAGTCCTCTGAATACACACAATTAATACACACACATAAGCACACACTGTGCTTTTATTATAAGTTTTGAAATCAGATGATATCAGTTCTCCAACTTCGTTCTTTTTTTAAAAAAAAATTTGTATTACAGGTCCTTTACATTTTACACAAAAAAAACCTTAAAATCTGTGTTTCAATTGCTACAAAAACACAAAAGAGTTTGTGGTTTTGAATGGAATTTTTGCATTAAATATATGGATCAATTTTTGAAAAATTAGCATATTAACAATACTAAATCTTCTAGAACATGAATATCTTCATTAATTAGGTCTTCAAACCACATTTAATAGTTTTCAGTGCACATATTTTGTCTGAATTTTATGTATGAATGAAACGTCTATATTGTAATTTAATTTTCCATTTATTTATTACCAGTATAGAGATATAACAATTGATTTTGTGTTCTGCATCTTGCTAAATTCATTTATTAGTTCTGGCATGATTGTGTCCAGATTTTCTTTGTAAGCAGTGATTTCTTCTCAATAGAATCAATATGTTTGCCTCTTATTTATCTTTCTTGTCTTTTTAAACTGGTCCAAAACTCTTGTACAATGTTGAGTAGAAATAGTATAGGAAAAACTTCATTACTCATTCCCAGATTTATAAAAATGTACTTATCTTTCATCATTTAGTAGGGTGATAGAAGGTTGAGAAAGTTTCCTTCTATTGGTTACTGAGAGTTTTTAAAATCATAAATGGGAAATTTTCAAATTCCCATGTTGAATTTTTCAAGTGCTTTTATCTATTGAATTTATCATTTCTATACCATTAATATGATAAATTTTATTAACTGATATTTCAAAGTAAAGTCAAAACTACTGATGGAAACATTCCAAGTGAGCAAACTGAATCATCGTATTTACACATGGCTGATTTGATTTGAAAATATGTTTTTAAGGATTTTTTTCTCTATTCATGAGGGATATTTGATTAGTAGTTTTCCTCTATTATCATTTCTTTGATTATCAAGATAAGTGCAACCTCATAAAATTTGCTGCACAGTATTATCTTGTCTATGAATTTTGTAAGGAATCCCAAAACATATATGTTATTTATTTTTTCTTGTTGCATAGGATTCATCAATGAATCTATATAGACTTGCAGATTTTTTTCAGCAAGGTTTGTTAAATACTGCACAATCTCAGCTTTGGGTAATCCTTTTTGGGGTACTTTGCCCATTTCATATAAGTTGGCAAACTTACTGGTAGTTCATAAAAGTCCTTATTCCCTTTTTAATGTCTGTAGCATGTTTTCCCTTTTCATGTAGCTTCATTCTGGTCACAAATACTTTTTAAGACAGTGTAGTTTCCAAAGTCCATCATTTACATGATATTTCAAATTCATAATGGTGGTAATTCCTCTTTTAGGACATAGTTTCTTGTGAAAGATGATTCTTAATGTTTAAAATAGTGCTATAAAGTGTTGTGTCTGTGAATGTGCTCTCCACAGTTAAAGATTATGGAGCCCTGACCAACATGGCAAGGAAAAGACCTTCCCACAAGAGCAGCCTCTCAAGATTAACCTTTCTTATCTTTTGTATCATTATTACTGTTTCCATGTAACTAAACATGTATTCAAAATTTTACTGACTCCCATCCCATATCACTTTGCACAAGTTTACAAATGAAAAACTTGCATCGCAATAGAAAAAACATGAGTTTTGATGATCTGACTGCAAATTCTGGTTTCACACATTAAAGATAGGGACTTTGATATAATCCTTCTCAGTATCTACATGATCAAAACCTATAAAATGAGATTATAATCTGATTTAGTTATGAGTTAAGAATCACTCACAATTATTCATTGTTCCTGAAGTTCAGTTAATGTCAGTAACTCCTAATTAATTTTATGCCAGTTTTCTCTGGATATTCAATTTCTTTGTTCAGCTTATCAGTGGAGAAAGGTTATGTGTCCTCAAAATAAGTTGCAAGATTGAGCATCTTTTCTGTCCTTTGTTTAGGTTATGATCTGAAAAGGGGCATCATTGAATTTTTTTAAATGACTGCTGGGACTATAACTGTGCTCCCTGTGGTAGTTTCTCTTCATGGGAACTGTTTTGGATAGTTTCTATAATCATCAGATGCAGATTGTTGGTTCTCTCCTTCAGGGGAACACTCAATAATAGAATCACAAAAGTTTAAATGATCTCTCTGAGATCATTTAGAAAATAGTTCAAGACCATTTAGCAGGCACTTTGGGGGCTTTCATGCTAGAGTTCTGGAACTTTCCAGCATCCATTGCTGCTTCATCTCAATTGCTTAAAAAAAAAAAAAAAAAAAAAAAAAACATGCTTAAAGAGTCACAAAAGAGGAAGGAATTCTCAGCTCCCATCTTCCCTTAACCACTGCATGAGAAGACTGAACTCTACTACCACTGTGTGAAAAGGGTAATCAACATAACAGGACATACAGAGGGAGGAGGAAAATAATTTATTAGATGTTTCCTATTTAAGATGTTTCCTATTTTTCATTAGCATCATGGACTATTCTTCGAGAGAGAAGATGGTCAAAAGGAGCATCTTTTATTTCTGCTGTGTAGACATCAAAGTAAAATTTTGTTCTCAAATTAAAGATTATCTAACAGACTTTGATCTTGTGGTGTAAAAGCAACAGAATCCATCTAACGTTCATTCTGAGAGACCACAGGGACACATTGGTCTGTCCTGGCGTGCAGCACAGAGATAAAAGCAACAGCTGAATAATCTTAATAGAAGTTAGACAGCCGTATGGTGTGCTTGTTGGCACATTTTCCTCTTAAAAAAAATTAGGCATGCTGAATTTTATTGTTTTGCTCACTAAACCCTATCAATCTTCATGAGCTTATAATTAAGAAAATATTATACTTGGCAGGACTCCCTGCTATTATCAAATAACTTTGAAAAGAAATGGAAAAGTACAAGTTGTATAACTGTTGTTTCAAATTCTAACTATTTGAAATGTTAATGTAAGACCACAAAGGATTCTCAGTATTTTTGCGTGAGTGCATTTTAAAAGGCTGAACTGAAAAAATTGGTTTTAAACAATTCCATTACTAAAAAATTGTAAACAACAGAGAATATTTGTCTCCCCCAGCCCCCACCCCAAAGATTTGCTTTGTCCAAATCTGAGAAACACAAAACCTAACAAAAAGCAGTTGATTCTTAAGTCCTCTCTCTCCTTCTGACAGCAGATGGCAGTATTGATGCATGAAAAAAAAATCCCTTCATGTTACTTTTTCCTTTACCTGCTAGGGTTTTCTCTGTAAATTTAGTCAAGGGATCTGAATCTAGAATTCCTTGTGGGATGATATGGTTGCCCTTTTCTTAGCATTCTTTCCCCCCACATTTTGCTTTTCTTTATATAAGAAGATATATTTTCCATTTGCTGTTCTCGGTATGCCTCCACAAAATTATTTTTAATTATTATTATTATTTTTTCCTACCAACACCCATTTGGCATTYGACTAAATGAATGCCAAGAACATACTCAACCTAGCAAATGCTCTGGAGAAACAGGTGCTCAAACTTCCCAGACAGCCAGCGTCTGAGACCCTTTCCTGTGTCTTCTAATGACTTCTCCAAAGTGGAACATTCCTAAACSAAGTACCAACAAAGGATTCCCTTTCCTTTCAGATTCCTGGAACATCATCTGTAGTTCAGAGGAAATGGAAGCCCCTGCAGCCGGTTTCACAGCCCCGAGGACCAGGGCAGCCTACCAAGTCCCGGATTAGTGCTGTGGCCGCTGAAATCAAGCAGATCCGAGCCAGAAGGAAAACAGCGAGGATGTTGATGGTGGTGCTTTTGGTGTTTGCAATTTGTTATCTGCCGATTAGCATCCTCAATGTACTAAAGAGGTAAAGGACATCTACTATTTGAAAATAAAGTGACTTGACATTTTAATTAAGAACTTTTGTTGTTGTTGTTGGCAAAACCCAAAATCTCCACTTTCTGCCTTGATAGCTTGTCAGGCCAGATAACTCAGTTATGCTGTTGTTACCAGCAGGTAAGGTGAATATCCTCTCAGAGTACATTGACATGTGCTCTTGTTCATGCAGATTCTCAATTGAATGGCAGACATAAAACAGACCTTTCCTCTAACCTCCTCAAGCTAATTGCTAAGCCTAAGATGCAGAAAAAGTTCTAATGCCAACAAAACAAAACAAAACCAAAAAAAAAAAAAAAAACTCATTTACAGCTTAAGAATTCTTTTTTGATGGGAACAAATGGGTTTTGCAAAACTTTGTTCTCAAAGAGTAGGCAATCATGAAAAAATTCTCTCCAAAGGATAAAAAGAGATAAGCTTTTGTTTGAAGCACTAAACAACAACAAAAAAGTAATCAAAACAGATATTATGTGCTGAATGTCTAAACTTAGAAGAGAAAATCCCTTTAAATTACTGAAATATTCTCAAGTTGAAGATTAATAAAAATTAGCACAACATTTTTCAATGGGGGAAAGTATAGAATTTGTTATGCTGCAGACATGACTACTATTAAGTTCAGATAATGGGTCAATATGACAGGAAAAGTGGTTGCAAAGTCAGTGGTCTACTCTGAACTTCAGGACCAGTCAACTTTATTGGGAATTAGCAAAAATATTGCAAATAGACAGGTCCCAAGGCTATACTAATTCTGTTTATAATAGACTTCAAACTTAACCTTGAATTGCTGCTTTTCTTTCCTGCTTCAGAGTCAATATCATATTCCTCACAGCTGGGGACTCTGGAGAGCAGCAGCTTTGGCTGGAAACTGACTAAAGGTGGTAGAACCAGCTCCAAAAATTTCTCATTCTCTTTGGCCCTTGTTTTTGATTGCCTAATGSCCTTTTTAATAAAGAAAAAAATGAAAAATAAACTTTTGTTCAATAATATTATTTACTGCCATCCCAACCTTAAAGGTATAAGATTTTGGGTGGCTTTTCCTTGAGCCATATGCTAGATCATGAAAATTGTTTTGCCTTCATATCTTTCCATAATCACCCCTTCTTATTTTTCTCGCTCAGAGAAATCCCATACAAATTTATTCTGAATTTTTGCTAGATGTTGTGTTCTGTTCTTAAGAATGTTATAAGAAAATATGCTATGGTCATGGGTGAGTTTCTTACTCTCTCCTTTATTACCTAGTCAAAATTCAACAAAAAGTGGATTTACTGCTCTCTTGGTTGTTCATTTGAATTTCCTATATCTCAGCACTTGTACCTTTTCCTTTCATTATTTCCAAATACTTACTTGTCAGTAATATTTATCTTATACTTCTGAGTTAAATATCATCCTATCCAAGGAAAACAAATAGCTTTCTAAGGAAAAAGTCCAAGTTCAATTTAAAATATTTTCAAGCTTTTGAGTGTTTTCWTTCCCACAAAGTTAAAATGTTTTAAAAAGAATCTTGAAAATCGTTCTTCTCTTTACCACATACATTTTCTTAAAATACTTAGCTCTAGGTTTGCCCTGAATATTAAATGCTTTTTTCTTTCTCTCTCACATACAAAAATATCCTAGCATCTTTTCCTTGAAACTTAACTTTTGGCCTGATCAGTCAAATCCAACAAATAAGAAGTATTACTTAAAATAAGTGCTTTTTAAATCATAATAGTATGTGAATATCAACACAACATTGTACAATTGTATTTAGAAACAAAATGAAATAAGAAGGATATATATTCAATTTCTGTATTTTCTACCATAAAACATTGCATTTGCTGTTTACAGAAAGGAGAGGACCCCCWCCACCCCTCTGATTTTACTCAGTTTTTGATTTACTGATTGAGCCATGGTGTCTCTGTTCAGGTACTGAGGCTATTCTAAAGGGACTCTGCTGTCATGAAATTATCAGTGATAGTAGATACCTTCTCAGAGGACTAGGGGTTAGGGCTCTACCAAGGGCCCTACTCACCTTTGAAATGATTATTTAAAATGGGCCTCCCAGAATCACTCTGGATTTTCTGTTTTTGTTTCTTTTCCTACAGAGTATTTGGAATGTTTGCCCACACTGAAGACAGAGAGACTGTATATGCTTGGTTTACATTTTCCCACTGGCTTGTATATGCCAATAGTGCTGCAAACCCCATTATTTACAATTTTCTCAGTGGTAAGTTTTWAACTAATTTTTCTATAAACCATAATTCTGAAAGAGACTGAGGGATCGATAACCAAAAGTTTGGAACAATCTTAAAGTATGTGAAGAGCTTTGTTGCTACTTGAAACAAATTTTCCTCTGACCTGATTTGCTTGAGTTTCTTCTTTTCTGAGAAGAAACACATTACCTCACTCATCAGAGAAAATTATCTAAGTGTTTTTTTTTTTTTTCTGGTAAATTTAGGAAAAGTGTTGAAATAGGAAGAAAGTGAAATTTGTAAGAAATGAATAACATAGAATCTTGTGTGTCATACCTTAAACTTAATGATTCACAATCATATAAAATAATTTTTATCTATTTATTGTTCCTTTTCCAAATTGTGTGGTCTCACTGACCACTAAAACTATTGTTCATAAATTATACATAATGTAAGCAACATGCACATACACACATCTATAAATTATTCACTCTACCTACGTCTATGGAAAAAATATGATTTAAAAAATTATTTTAAATAACTATTGTTTTCTTTCTATTTTACCTGCCTGACTTTTAGAATTGCATTTTCATTGACTACATCTTTGATTGTCTTCTTCTCTAACCTATTAGCTTAATATATGATATTTTTTATATGTAAAAATAACAATTCATTTTATTGCCAAGTCAAAGTCCTGGTATGGGTTTAAGAATGAGTTAGGGAAAACAGCCAATAATTGCTGAAACTTGGGGTATCCTGATGCTTTAACATTTATCTTCTCATGTAAACACTTGGTAACCCAACTGAGGCACAAAGAAAAGARTTGATGATTTCTAGCACTGTCATTAGCTCTAATAAAGGTGATTGTTTCCAGTTGTCCATCAATAATTTTGATCCAGATTTCTAAAGATTTCCTCCCCTTCTATATTTTCTTCTGATATAAGTTACGAAGCTTATAAATGGTTTAATATATTTTTCTAGATATTTTGTTGAACTTTGGTGTGCCATTAGTATCTCCTTTAGAATAAAATTGAGGGAGTCATTTCTGTACAGTTTGGRCAATGCATAACATGGCTTTCATTATTTTTGAATAAAAATAATGTATCTCTGAGTATGCCTCTATAGATGATCATTTTTATTGTAATTATATAGTTAAATACAATTAAATTCATAAATACATGACCTAAAAGGAATGAAACAAAGAGTGAGCATCACATAGAAGAAGTCTCATTGTTACAARAATCTACCAATAACATTAATTTCCTTTCCCCATTTTTTCCATCTTTGTAAAACATTGCACCTCGTTGGTAGTTTGGCTCAGGGGAGTTCCTCAGTTGTACCTTAAGCGGTATTTGTTGAAACGTTTATGCATAATTCCCTTCTCTTTCATTCTCCCAGGAAAATTTCGGGAGGAATTTAAAGCTGCATTTTCTTGCTGTTGCCTTGGAGCTCACCATCGCCAGGAGGATCGTCTCACCCGGGGAAGGACAAGCACAGAGAGCAGGAAGTCCCTGACCACCCAGATCAGCAACTTTGATAATGTTTCAAAACTCTCAGAGCAAGTTGTGCTCACCAGCATAAGCACACTCCCAGCAGCCAACGGGGCAGGACCACTGCAAAACTGGTAGAATATTTATTCATATGACGAGGATACCTGAGTCAAACTATTCTTTTTTAAAATATCTGTAAAAGAAATTTTATTACCCTAATGATCTGAAACTAAAATTATTCATTGATTTTTTTAAATAACTTATTGCTCTTTGAAAATAAAAAAAGTGAGTTTAAACTAATCTCAACTTTTGACTTGAACATGTTAGACATTTAACATTACTGAACTTATTTCAGGCTATTTGACTTTTAGCTTCATGTATTTAAACTTGTGTCAATTAAATGTTTGAACATTTCTAATCCTTTTTATAATCCCTTGTTATTTTAATCTCACACATTCAAATTGGCTGTTAAAAATCACCAAGTATTATTCAGTGATTTTCTTTTGGTTACTAGAAGAGATAGCAATTACTAACTCTTGATTAACAAMTGCCATATATTAACAACTTCATATTTTTTAAAAAACTCACAAAATACTATCAATACAATGTGACATCTGAAGGAATATATATAAAATAAAATATTACATTAGAAAATTTATAAACTACCTTTCATAACCACATAAAATAAGTACTATTCAACTTTATTTTCCACTAATTTACCACTCATTGATGGCAATTTTCTCAGGTTTATAACCTTCCTGTTGCAAATATTTCTTCCCCAACATATGACCAGTAAGACAGTATATTAAAATTTTAAAATTGTAGTAACTCCTAATATGTAATGATTTCTGTCTCTTAGGAAAAACTTTAACATTTAAAAATAAGATAAAATCAAGGTGACAGGGAATAAGGAAGAGGTGAGTGCCTTCAAGAGAGCTGTAGTCTAGGCAGGGAAACATGTTGAAGAGCACAAGAGGACACACAACTCAAGGGATGCTACCTGATGTGGCAGTGCTGTGGCACAACTAAGGAGGATGGTCCTCACCAGAAAATGGGGCCATACATTTAATTACACTCGCTATGCCAGTGATTTCCACTGGGCTTGTGCTGAGATTCAGGTGGTTAGGAGAAAAGAGAGCCTTGCTGTCAACTCACACATGAACTAAAGGAGTAGAGCATGTGTAGCATAAACAATAGATCTGCAACACAAAGCACTGAGTACTTTAGATTTGTTCTTCAAAAATCTTCTGATTCAAATATTCACCTTGAAATTACATTAAAAGTAGAAGAAGGGTTCATGAAATGGTTCTCTTCATCTCATAGTATAGCAGCAAGTCTTCTGATTGTATTAAAACAAGATATGGACACAATATTTGAGAAAGATTTGGACAGAATATTTTTAGAAGATAATTAATATTTTATTATCTCTTTCTTTTTTGCCCTACTCATCATTTTCAGAGAAAAGTRATGCATCCAGATTTGTTTTATAATCTTTTGAATTTAGGATTCTGTTACCTTGTGCCTTTTCCTACTCAAAGCAAAAACAACCCTTTTATACAGGTTTATGGAATGACATTGCTAAATATCTCCATTATTATCAGTGCAAATAGTGTATTTTGTACATGTGATAATTTTTTGTCTTATRTATGTTGCATGAAAGGAGAGTTGTAATTTTCAGATTGGGATAAAAGTTAGCACTTTAAATAGTTTGAGAAAAATCTCAGATACTTTGGTAACATGCCTTAATAGACAAGTAAAGTTCAGAATAAGAGTGAGTATTTTAAAAACTATTAAACCTAGTTCTTACCATTTAAAGGAGAGAGAGAGAGAGATTTAAGAGTGAATGAGAGGGGGTGGGGGGAGAGAGAGAGAGAGAGAGAGAGAGAGAAGAAAACTCAGAGAGGTGGCATTTGTATAACTGATCTGAAATCAGAATTTCTTTGCTCTAAATCAGTGATTCTCAAAGTGTGGTTCCTGAATCAGCATCAGCATCTCCGGGGAACTTACTAAACATGCAAAACCAAAACCTACTGAACCAGAAACCTTGGGGTGGTACCCAGGAATCTATGTGTTAACAAGACCTACAGGTGATTTTCAAGCACCTTAAGATTTGAGAAACACTGCTAAAAATGATACCATTGGCATCAATTTATTAGCCCGTGTGAAATAAAGTCTCTTACTGCACAGGTATCTACAACAGGGACCACCGTCATCACTACTGTCAACCTGGTTGGAGGTCTGAAAGAAGAGGCTGAGTGTCAATGCTGAACCTCACAAGTGTCATCTCACTCAAAGAGATAATGGCTTATAAAATAAGTGCCACTGTGTTATAAGTGCAGTGTGAAAGAAGACCGGTGTCCAGGCACTCATATGCTTATAATAACCTGAATGACTTGTGTTTTTAACTAAGACTTTCAAATTCTCAGTTTTATTTATTAAAAATTTAAGTTTTGTGAAAGCAGATTATTTTTAAGAATGATCATTACCTGGAAGGAAAATCATAAAATAAAGCCAGTACTTAAACTCTGGGAAAGGAAATAATGGACCATGTATGTATCTCTCAACATGTGGACCCTGGAACTTCCTAAGAGAGCTGGACTTGTATGGATACCTTAATAGGACAAATGGTAAAGACACAAGTGTTCGTAAGCCCTATGAATGTGATGGAATAAAGGGTCAACTACTTACCTCATTATGTGCTAATGACACAAATGAGAAGATTTGTTATGAAGATTGTGTTGGGCCATTTTATGCTATACAATTGAATATGTATCTCTGTTTTTTTCTGTTACATTTTAAAAAAATGTAGTAAGATGTCATTGTCACTGAAATTTTATTTTCAATAGGGATAATAATTTTACCTAATATAGACTATGTTTGAGCTTTATTATTTCTGAATTACTACAAAACCATGCAAACCTAGATATTTGAGTCATTCATTCTTGACAATAGATTGTASCCAGTTTGTGAGAAAAATTACTTTCAAATTTCACAAAACATGAAGAATTTCTGGATATTAAATACCTGTCACAAATTGTTGGTAAGTTCATTGCCGTGTTCACCACAATGATATCAAGTTTCACTCCCAGTGTACATTGTTGTAAAGATGATCAAGAAAATCCACATAAAATGTACTCTGAAGATGCTTAAATCTGAAACTTCAGAATGGCAAAAATCCCAAAGTTGTTTGATCCAAATTACAAGGAGGGCTATTAGTATTTTGATACTAGTGTAATAATACCATGTTTTGCATTTGGTGTATATCATAATAATAGTCAATTGCTTTTCAAAAATATCTGGCTAGTTATTACAATTTAGAAAGCTTTTTATGAAAGTTAATTTCACAACTGATGACTTTTCTACTTCCTACAAGTCACAAGTCACAACTCAAACAAAAAAATAATAATAATTCCAGTAGCTTATGTTCAAATGGTTCTCAAGTTGCATGAAGCAAAATAATAGTGTTTTTTAGAGCCATTATATAAACAGGAGAAATATTGCTAATCTGTCAATTTTATTACTTTATTTACCACAGAAAATGAAGTACAAAGGCATGAAAAACACTTACTCAAAGTTCAAAGGGTCTTGTCTTCTAGATAACTACTGCTACTAATAGGGGGCAAAAGATGCCCCCTGATTTGCCACGTATTCCTATTCTTTAAATTTTCTTYATAACTTTTGAAGTTTGAAGGTCTTTTAAGTTTTCCATGAAATGTGTTTTTCTAGTTGTGGTGTTCCATGTGTGTAACATCATGTCAATTGTTCAACAATTATACTTTTAAAAGTTATTTATGCCTGAGTGTACTATCTTCATAGGAAATTTCTTATCAAACCCAAGGTGATTACACATCCGCTGCTGTGAAGAGTACTCATGATGCAGTTTTTAAGTAAAAAAAAATCATATTGAGAATTCTATAATCACATCATACTGCCCTCTCTATTGTAAGAAAAATTTTGTTGTTGTTGATTAGATAAATTGAATATTCACTCATAATTAGTGTCAAATCTTTGCAGTTAAGGATCAGATTAAGCCCTCTGGTGCAGTACTTAATGACCAAAATATTTTTCCCAATAAGTTTATATAACCAGGGATAATCATGTTATAAAAGATCTTTAATATTGTTTCTAAGAGCCGTATTACAATAAAGGTTAAGATTAATACAGAAATATTTCTTAAAAGTTATATAAAGTTATGTACATAAAGCATTAAATTTTGGAGCTTTCATTCTGAGTCAGAGGTTCAATGTACTTTTGACTTAGAGAAAAACAACCTCATGATTTTCAATTTATTATATTATGTAAAGCATCCATTTACATAATTAATTGTTCTAAGCCATTATGTGTAAGACTGTTTAAACTCAATGGTGAATTCTGAAAATATATATTTTTCTGCTTTAAAAGATTCTGTTAAATTTCAGAGTCAAGTGCCAAGAATTTTAATGTTCAAGATCCTTTCTTATTCAGCACTTTTAATTTTAACCTTTATCAAAGATAAAGTAGTCAGGCAAGATAAATACTTGGCTCCTAGGGAGATGTGATTAGAGTCTAGGGGTATTCCTCAGGAGTACGTGAACATTTTTATAGTGAAAGATAATCTATTTCAGTGGTGAGAATGTTTTGCTCTGAGCAATCTATGATCACTGAGTAGGTACTAATCACCTCCCCGCTTGAACCAACCCTGAAGAGGGATCAGAGCATCTGTACCTTGATCCAGGCCAATGCCATGAAGGAGAAGTGGGTAACAGAAGGAGTTTCTTGGAGCACCTCTTTGGTCCCATCTTCCTTTCACTGCTTTCTCACTCATTGCCTATAGGGCAGATCCCCAACCTCAGCACTGATGGATCTCTTAGGAGTTTCTCTTGCCTTACTGAGCTCCTGGACCTTCCTTCAGTTCAGCACCATCCAATGACCTCAGGCTCCTTCTCCTTTTTTTCAAATATTCCTTAGTTGTCAATTGACATTTATTTTATGGGTTTATATGTGGTGCTGAGGATCAAACACATGCYAAGCAAGTGCTCTGCAGCCCAACCCTAGGCTCTATTTCTTAAGAACAATTGGCAAGTAGTAAATTTGGAGAAAAAAAATGAAGCAGAATTCAAGGAAAAGGGGAAAAAAAAGGGAAAAAAGTGCTTTACAACAAAAACCTTATCAATTTTACATTTTTTAAAAGGTCAGTTATTTCCTTCCTAGAATATCAATGATTGCCAGAATAATGTTCACCATGGACTTCTGGATGTATCGGCTCCTTTTCCAAGGCCTAGCTAAGCTTGCTGTCTCAAATGGAAAGGATCCAAGTTTTGAGATCCAAAGCCAAGTTAGATCAGTGGGTATATGTGCTCATGGAGTAGCCTATGGCACCTTCAGAAGCAAAACATCGATTGCATTACCTTTTGTAGGTCAAACCCCTATGTAGTAACA